GATGAGTTTAAGTGATAGGAAAAGAGTATGTGAACATGAAAGAAAGATATGATTGGTGTATAAGAAGATTTTGAGTTATGAAGGAAATAAAAAATGATGAAGTTTAAAGAATTAGACGTGATAAAGATTATGTTGATATAGGTTATAAGTTTAACCAGAAGTAAGAAAGGTATGTCAGGTAATATGAGAAATTGTTTAGTTATGCAAAGTATGTTTAATCAGTTATGATGAAGATTTAAGGTTATGTTTCTTGGTAAGTGAATGTAGTCAAGAAATGAATAAAGATTTATATGTATTAAAGGAAGTTTTGGAGTCAGTCAAGTAAGGACGAAATAAAAGTTTGGTGATTCTTGAAAGACAATTGAAGATTTACAAGGAATTTGATTGAATTATGAGTTTGAGTAATAAGAATTAATGTTATTGTCTATCTGATAAGTGACATGATATGAGATATAAAGTAAAAAGGTAGTCGAATAATTGGAAAGATAAGAACCAAGTTATTAAAGATGATACAAAAGATTAAATTCAGAAAGCAGCATGAGAACGTTAGAAGATATGTCCTTCTCAGGATGTGCAGTGAAAATTCGAGGACGAATTTTTTTAAAAGGAGGGGAGATTTGTAACATCCCAAATTATGGGTTAGTGACCAATTTGTAAAGTTTCAGAATTTGATGACTAAAGTAGAAGAATGAAATAGTTAAATGATTATTGGATATATGATGAAGGTTATTTAGTAATTATTAAAGGAAATAAAGGGTAAAATGGTCATTTGATCATTTAAGGAATTAAAAAAATGGAATTATATACGTGGAAAGGGAGATAATTCTCCAGAGTTCTCTTCTCCTTTCTTCTTCTTCTTCACGTGGAAGCCAAGAGCCAAAGGTAAGTTTCTTTGTTTATAAATGAATTGTTGATTTTAAGGTTGGGTTTTGATTATTAGATGATAACTAAGCTTAAGGAAAGCTTAAATCATCTTAAAAACAAAGGATGGTGGAATTAGGAGAGATTAAAGATTTTGAGTTTTTGAATGAAATCTTGAAATAAAGTTGATAAGTTGAATTTGACTTGTCAATAGTTAAATTAAGAGATTTGGAGTAATAGAATTGGATTTGAAACATATTGCAAAATTGATGTAATTATTGAATTAAATATGGAATATAGGATTTTGAGGTTTAAGATGAATTAAATGAATATAGATTGGTTTAAGTATGTGTACTAGAGTTAAGAATGAAAAAGAGGTTGAAATAGGAAGTGTTTAAGTTAAAATGAAGTATTTTTCGTGCTGAAAATGTAATTCTGGGCTAGGGGAATCGGTACCCATTCAAGGGGAACCGATACCCCTTCAAGCGAATAAAATTTCCAGAATGTCATGGGGGAACCGATACCCCCACAGGAGGGAACCGATTCCCCCTAAAGGAAAATTGTAAATATTGGTTTAATAAGTTCGTTTAAGTTGCTAGTATCAAATTACAAGGTGTAGGTATCTAATAATTGTCTTAAAAATGTATAATTATGTAGATTCAGAGCCTAAACGAGTTCCGGAATCATTGACAAGTAATATCGATAAAAAGGGAAGATAAGAGATTGGAATGGACTAGTGAGGCCAGGTGAGTGCAATTTCATTGTACTTATGTTATCGAATAAGCATTGGCTTGCAATGAGCCAGTGACAGAGTTACTATGGTAATAAGTAACTCTTAAAATGTTATTTGATTTGTGAATTTTATGTATGCATGAGTATAGGTGACATGATTTATATGATTCATATGATATGTTATACTGAACTACATGAATATATGAGAATATTATATCAGTCGTGTGATATGTTTGACATGTTATTTTATGTGATACGTGTTTACATGATCACAAGACATGAGTTATATGAAAGAGAAAGTATATGGGATATGTGAAAGTGAATCCTATGTTTATATGGATATGAACTCATATGAGAATGGATATGAACTACTTGATTACATGTATATAAAGGAAACCATGAGCTTATATGATATATGATATGGTTACATGAATATGAAAAAGGATATAAAAGATAATACCCATGTTATGTGTCATGAGAGCTAGGGGTATAGTTGGCATGCCAAGAGTCGAGGGTACCTATGTTCTACGGAACATATGGACAGAATTACCTCTGTCTTTCGAGACATATGGACAGTATACCTATGTTCTAAGGAACATATGGACAGTTCACCTAGGTTCTTCGGAACCTATGGACAGTTGCCGAGGATCTTTATGACCTCTGGATAGTTACCGAGGATCTTTATGACCTCTGGATAGGTCCTGCGGGACATTGATCGAGCTGTGGTGACAGCATATGTGTGCACAACCTCAATGTACTCACATACCTTAAGTTCTCAATAGTGCACATGGGTTAATAAAGAGAGTAAACAAGTATACTAAATGTGATATGCATATGTGACTTGTTATATAGAATAGATTACATGATTTACATAAGGGTGTATTGCTTGGTTAATGCATGATATGGTAAAGACAATGTTTATATAAGAGTGTTAAATTATAAAGATTAATGATAGTGAATGAGAAATGTTAAACGTGTTGATAATGATATATGTGCATGTGTGTACATGTTGCAGAAATTATATATATGTGATTTTATATGATATGATTGTAATACTAATTGCTCATGCATTTGATATGAATTATAGTTGTATTACATGTTTATATGCCTCACTAAGTCAACGACTTAGCGTGTGATTGTTTCACATGTAGGTTTCAAGAAGAGTAACGAGCAATGTGGAGCAAGACAGGTCAGTTATCCTTACCAAGTGTCAGATCAGAAAAGAGGTGAATAATACGTATTTTAATAAATAAAGTTCTAGTTGGCATGTAATCAAAAGAATATATATATTGTATAAGCTCTGCATAGTTTTGTAAACGTTTTGAATAAGTTTTAAGGTTATAAAAGTTTTAAATTACTCACTATTTTATACAAGTACATGTTTTGAAAAGTCAATGTGACACCTCGGACTCGTATCCGGGTCGGTATGGGTTGGGGTGTTACAACAACAGTCTTTACTACCACTTAAAGTCTTAAACCACTCAATAAGTTCATCTCTAACCACATATAAATTAGAGAACATTGAATACTTAAATATAATCAAATTCACATCCTCCTACCCAAGATAATAATAACAGTGTCAACTGAACTAAGACTCAATCGTTTTAAAACAACGTTTTAAATGTAAAAATTTTATATTTAATTATTATTTGTCATATTTAGTTTTAATTATTTTATGTTTATATTACAAATAAGTAAATATAACTTTTGGGGTCCCGTTTTTGTATTATAATGAATAAATATCACTTTAACTAAATGGAAAACGTTTATCTTTGTAGTATAATCAATTTATTATTTTTGCTCCTATCGTATTTTCGCATCAATTAAATCCCAAATTGTTCAATTGCATCATTTTATACCATACCTAGGGATGGGCATGGGTCGAGTTTTTGGTCCACCCGACCCGACCCGAGAAGAAGGGGACATCCACCCGTGACCCGACCCGACCCTACGAAATTAATTTTTCACCTGACCCGACCCGAAATAATAAAAAAATTATTTTTATTCAATAAAAACAGTGACTAAATTGAAAAAAATAATATATGGAGGGGTATTATTGTAATTATTCCTAAATATATAGGGTAAAATTATATATATTTTCCGGGTCTGGTCGGGTCGGATTTTTTTCACCATAAACCCGAACCCGACCCGACACGAACACCACATAAAAAAACCCCGACCCGAACCGAACCCGATTTTTTAGAAAAATCCGACCCGATCGGTCAGGTCGGGTCGGAACCCGTCAGATTCGGGTTAGATGCCCATCCCTAACCATACCCCTCACTTAAAACTCTAAATTGATGATTTTATTTAGGGTTTAGAGTTTAGAGATTATAGGGTTATGATTTAGGGTTATCAATTTAGTATTTTAAGTTAGGAGTCAAGTATAGAATGATGCAACGATATGCAGGAAAATGATAAATTATGTATACTATAGGGGCAAAAGTGATCTTTAATCCTTAACTAAATGATATTAAAAATAAAAGTATGAACGTATCATATATATATATATATATATATATATATATATATATATATATATATATATATATATATATATATATATATATATATGTATGTATAAATGTTAAGTATCTAATTACACTAAATAAAAGTTGAGTATCTAATTATACCAAAAATAAAAATATACAAGCTAGATACCTAATTGTACCCTTAAAAAAATTGTGTACCTAATTATAAAAAATTAAACATCATATTATATATAAATACCAAAAATTATAGTTATCTTAGCATAGTAGTTATATTTAAAATATATATAGTATGAAAGAGAAAAATGTTCTTTTTAATCATTCCAGGGTCTTCCTAATAAATTCATAATGTCCTTTTTTTATTAAATTCAAAATTATGATTGTTTGTATTCCTTAATTTATGCTAAATTTGAAAATGGTAATAATTATTGTCTCCATGAATATATAATTCTAATTATTGTTTAGACATACCTCATATCTCGCAACCTTAAAAGAACAAACATTTTTAGTATCATTTTATCATATTAGTCTTAATGCGAAATAATTTAATAAATTCTAAATATTTAAACAACATCATTTGATTATTAAATTGTTAATCATTTCAAAATTAAAAGGAGGAGCAAATTGATAAGATTTTTAAATATTAAGGGTTTATTGAATTATTTTGAATTATAACCAATTGATAGAATATGCAAGTTTTATAGATTAAAACTATTATTGTATCATGTTAGTCAATAGTTAAATTTAACAGTGGGTACCATAATTGGATGACCAAAATAAAAAATACGAAAATAGATGAAATATCAAATAGATAATTTACCCAAAAATCTAGAATAAAAAAGTTTAATGAACTATACTCTAAACAATTTACATTCCTAAAAATCAATAATGCTTTGTGGAAATTCATATAATCAGTTTGTTTATGATCGTCTTCCTTGCGCCAGACTCACTAGCAATGCCCTTCCTTCCAGTTCCTAGCACATCAATCAACAAAGCATATGAGTGATTTATTTATTCATACAATACCTTAAATTCACTACTTTCAAACTAAGAGGGCCTAAAAAGCAATTGGACCTATAAAACTTAGGGTTAAGATTTAATTTATTAGGTTCCAAAGCTAAGAGTTCCTGAAAAACAATTAAATCCAGAAAATAATCGGGAGAGGCTTAATGTGTCTAATTCAAAACTAGGAGCGGCTAAATATAATTAGACCCAAAATGGCACACATGAATGTCAAGAAAGTATACGTTGAAGAAGAATGGTGTCATATAATGTCTACAATTAGATCCAAAACTTTTGGTTTAATAACATTTAGTCCCTATTAGTTTAAACCTGAGTAAAATCAAACTTTTGTCCTTTTAATTTGTAGATTAAATATTTAATAAATCCCTATTATTTTGAACTTAGGTAAGTTGTATTTCCTAATATCTGATCATAGCTCGGTCTATGTATATATCACTTCACTTAATTTGAAAAGTATTAAGAGGATTATATCTTCGTATTTTATCGGGTTTGATACGAAAAAAAATCTATATGTTTATTAATATGTAAGTACATACCACTCCGTTGAGAGATTGAATGGCAGCTTCCATCTCTGATTTTGTTGAGTAGCTGACGAAACCATAACCTCGGGACCTTCCTGTGTCGCCGTCGTACAAAACCCTAGCTCCGACCACATTCCCATATTCCTGGAAAGCCTGTGTTAAGGTTTCCGACGTCACGGACCACGATAGGTTCCCCACGAAAAGCTTGAATTCGGTTTCCGGATACAACGGTTCTTTCGGTTTAGGCTTGTCGGAAAAATTCACTCTTAATGTTCGACCAAGATATTCCTGGAGAAAAGAAAAACAATAAACGATGAGTCTACTGTCTGAATTGTCGAAATATTTGTATTCGTGTTCGTGTTAGCACGTGTTTAATTAAGATTACGAGTTGTTTTCTTACGCTTCCATCGAGGTTTTGGATAACTGTGTTGCAGTCTTCAATGGTGCTCATTGCGACGAATGCAAAGCCTCTGCTTTTCCCAGTTTGTCTGTCGTAAAGCACCTGAAATTCATTCATAACATCTATAATGTTATATAATGTTATTCCCAAATTTTCATTTTAAAAACATTCGGTTTTATTTTAATATTTTGATACAATATTTATATTGTACAAACGTCTTCTCATCTAGATATAAGGTTGCATCCGATCAAGTTTTTTTTTCCACTCGAATTTGATCTGAATATAAGATCTTTTTACCAGTCACATAAATTGATATAGGTTTAGAAAAGTTTTGTTCGACCCAAAATCTAATCTAACACACATATATATAATTTTTATTAGGTAAAATACTAACCTAATTAATATATATATATAATTATAGTAATTATCCCTAAACATACAAAGATTAATTATACTACTATTCTCTAATCAGGTCGACTCTGATTTTTTATCTTAAACTCGACTCAATCTTATCCTTAAAAAAAATTAACCCAAACATGTCGAAATTAGATCAAATGCACATCCTTATTCTTATCTATAGGCAAGAGGATATAAACTCAATTGATAAAAAAACATTCATTTTTCAATTTATATTGAACAAAATTAACACATTTAATCTTCATATATATATATATAATTAAATCCATATTCTATAATTTTATTAATTGATAAGTTAAATTAATTAATGACATACCTCAACAAGCTCTGGACTGCCATAATCTTGTATAATCCCAGCAAGTTGAGCACTGTCAACATTGTAAGGCAAGTTCCCAAAGTAAAGCTTAGTGTTCACAACAGTCTCAACTTCAACTTCACCTTCACCTTCGGCTTCGGCTTCTCCTTTCTGTTCCGCCAAACTTTCTTCCACCGGGGTGGTTTCCGCCGTCTCCTGTTGAGCAACAGCGGCGGACACCTTAAGCGTTCGCCCCTTCTGAACGGTGGGAAAAAGCTCGTGAGTAAAGTAAGAGTGATGACGAAGATGAGATACCGAAGATAATACTCGAGCGGATGGGATTCTGAGGGATTGATGACGATCGGGCGTGAGTTGCTTGAAACGCATGCATTTGACGGCGTTGATGGATTGAGAAAACGATGAAGCCACTGCCGCTGCAGCTGTTGCAGCCATGATGTTATTGTCGCTTGAACAGCAAAATGGAATGAGTGACGGTGGTTGTGGTTGTGGCAGTGGGAGGTTGAAGATGAAACAAAAAGGGGAGCTGGAACGGGATGGGTGAGAAGCTATCCCAGCTGACGTGGCCTGATCCTGTCCAGTAAGATTAGAGATAAGATGAGTTCAGATCGGTTGGGCAATGGATGTATCAGTTATCTAGAACCGGGCAAACATTAGCTGACTTCAGCGGAGTAAAATACATTTATTTAATGATTTATAAGTTTAAAAATTATGATTATATGGATTGAATCTTAATTTTATTTAACGTATGATTTATATTTTTGTAGTATAGGCATAAATATTATATATTTTAAAAAATAAAAATAATTTAGGGATGAAATAAAATATTGAAAAGTTTAGAAATAACTTTATAATCAGGATCATAGTTTATACATGAAATTGGAATATTTAAAATTTTAAGACTAATTTGAAATAAAGGTTATAGTTTAGGGACTTTGTGACTCAATTAACTCATTTGGAAGTTTAGTTGTTTTCTTCTTTTTTAAAAGTTGATATAGTGTCCACGCGTGTGTACACATGGCAAAGGAGCAAGTGGACATAAAGTAGAAAGCTGAGGAGACAGAGAAACAGAGCCATTGAAGATGGAAAGGTCAACTTAAGGTGGCGTATTCAATCTGATTTTGTAAAACATCATTTAAGACAAAAAAAATGATGCCTAATGGCACGATTCTTTCTCCAATTTAAGCAACTCCCCAAGTTGATCATCGCCTGCTTTAATGGTCGATTCCCAAATTCATCTTTCAGACACAAACAACCATCCTTTCCTTCTTTTCTGAATTCAATCATCTCTAAACTTAAACACCCACAACTCTGATTCAAAACTTCTTTTTCAAGTGGGTTTCTCTCTCTCTCTCTATTTTATGTTTTTCTGGAGATTTGATTGTTGAAACATGGAAGTTTGATTTGTTCTAAAGTGTTTTTTTATGTTTTTTCTTCTTGATTTTTGGGGAATTTTGTAGTGTTTCCGAGGGTGAAAGTAAAAGAAGAGAACCAAGAGGATCATCAACAAGTTGTGAAGGACTACAAGATAAACTCTGTTTTGTCTTTGAAAGATGTCCTGTTTCTCTCCATGCTTGATTCTTGTTTTCCAGGTATTCTTCTCTTTTCTGTCTCTGTAAATCAGTTTCTGGGTTTGGACTGTATTTGTTTCTCTTGTTTTGATTGATTTGATACACTGTCAAAGCTGAATGATTTATGTAATTATATCTGTTTCTGAAAGCAGAGCGTTTATCTCAAGCATCAAGTTGGCGGTCATCATATACAAATATACATTTAAGAAGTTATATTAGAAATTTATAGATACGAAACATAGATACTTATTTTTGCTACAACATATGTTTTTGCATTTAGACATAGTATATTAAAATTTTAGACACGACACATCGAGAGTGTGTGAATAAAATTTTAGACACGGTACGTTAAGATACTGCATATTAAGATGTTGTGGTCGGTTACTATCTTCGTCACTACTGCATGCCGTCGTATTTGTTACAGATGATGTTTATATAGGGGAAAAAATGAAGAATTCGAATAACGTAATGTTATCGTGTTTGACAGTGAAAAGACATGAAGATATTTCTCCTACGCCTACAGCAAGAATTCCGAAGTCTTATCTACCAGAAGTAGAGAAACATTCAGATACTTCATCTGAAGGTAGTTTTTTTTTTCTTTATGCACTTCCTAATTCATTTACTTCGTATGTTATTCAAACTTCGAATAAGTGTCAAATACGATTACGTGTCTGTAATCGGGGATATTTTATTTTCCGTAATTTTTCATATATTTAGAGGATCGTATCTTTTATACCCTCGAATTCAAATATGCACTATAGCTTAATGCAATATAGTTCATATGCAGGTTCAGGGAAAAGCAAGACAAAAGTTGAAGATGAGGAAGCTAGACCAAATATTAGAGCGAGTTCAACTCCTCGTCCCCGGGCTGTCATTTCTAGTCCTGGTAATTTCCTTGTGTTATTCGAATTCGATTTGAAGTTTTTTCATATAAATATAAGATTCGCGAAACGTTATATTATTTTATATCCGAATATTCGCCAAACATGAGTACTTGGATAAAAATTTGAATATATCTTTGGGTAACACTTAGGTTCGAATCTAAGTTATACGGATGTATGGAAAAGGGTCTATAACTCGAAAAGTGTTCAACAATGGAGTGCTCTATAACTCGTTCATGTTTATGCATTCTTCTTTTTTTAATTTAGACAATGATGCTGTGATCGGATATAAAAATAAGATCGAAGGGAGACAAAGGAGAGCTTTGACGAATCATAGTACGGTTCAAAATCGACACACGACCCGAGCCCACATCTTTACGGGAAGTCCAGTGAGAACGACTAAGCCCAAGAATGATGATAGCCGTAATGTCGAAACCAAAGGAAAGAAAGGATCGGGACCAACTGTTTCAGCTCGGAGAAAACACCCTTTAACTGAAAGACCAAGCTGGCAAGATCCCTAGACTGTGTAGCTGAATAGGTATTTTTGACTCAGCTTAAATTCGAATTTAAATATTAAATACGAGTATATATCTAATACAAATTTATTTATTTAGAAGTTCTTTAGAATATATTCTCATCTCGTGTTGAGATGTAAGTCATGCATGAATTTGAGTAATATATTTATGTAATCGTCGTCATTGATAAATTTCATTAAATTATTATTCAATTTTTAGAAAAAAAAGGACGAGAATTATAGCAATTATACATAATTATGTTACATAATTTAAATATTTAATGAAGGGTATGACACAAATTTCAGTCTATAAAATATATATGTTATATTAATTTTATTTTATTTTAAAATAATGTAAGAAATTAAAAACTTTAATTATGGACATGCGTCTATGTATTTATATTGACTGAATTAGAGGAAATATATACTAAACAGTTTAGGAACTTGAGGATCGAATTAATTAAAAAAATAGAAATTTTTATAATGATTAGTAAAATTGTCAATAAATGAGAATGATATAGATAAAATTATTGAATAATTATAATAATGTTATCCAAAATCGTTTGTCATTGTTGATGATTTTATTCTATTTTAATATTATTTTTAATATATTTTTAAATTTTAATATTCATTTAAATTTAAAAGTGTATTAAAAATTAAAATAAGATCATCGAAAACTACTAATAATTTTATTAAAATCATTTCAGTAATTAATAAATATTTTTATTTTCTTAATTAATTTAATACCATTTTAAATTTCTAATCTTTTCTCCTTAATTTATTTATTTATATGTATTTATTCATTTTAAACAATTTCTATCAAGAGCAATAACAGATTTAAAAATTTAGAAATATGGTCTAAAATTTTTAATAATCTTTCTTTCCAATAAATCGAGTAAGCATTTGTTCTCAGCCCTTCAATATTAAATTATTTAAAAATTATCAAAATAAATAAATATGCACTTCACCCTAGGAGCACTTTTTAATACTCTACATATTGCTTACCGTTTATATATTTATAACAAAAGATAGCGAGATTATATATTAAATTAGGGTATAAATTTTGACGTTTATGAATATAGTAAATTAAATTAAAAAATATTTTTATTTTTATAGTATTTAATTTAAATTAATTAATTAATAGATTAAATATTAATGATGATAAAAAAATAAAATAAAAGAGATACGTAAGGTAACAACAAATTCAATTGGTCCAAAAATTGTTCGGGACGGATCGTGATCAATGCCGCAACTTCGCTCTTTGTTGTTTTTCTCAATTCCAATTTTCCCTCACCGACAATATTCTTTTGTCGTCTTCCTCGTCTATGTTCGAATCCAGAAAAGTTCAAACTTTTAAACCCTCAATTCTACACCAAAAGCTCCATTTATGTGTTTATATATATGGGTTAAAATCTGATATATATCCCAGAAAAAGAAGTTTGGGGATGAAAATGCACACGCTGAAAGATAAAGTTGCGGGAAGTCTTTCACGTTTATTTGCAGATTCACCGCCTCCTCCTTCTCCTCCTCCTCCTCCTCCGTCTTCTCCACCACATCTTTCTCAGGCAATTCATTTATTTTTTCTAATATATTTGTGGTTAACAATCTGGATCTGGGTTAGTTATAGGAAATGTAGCTAATTTTTTATTGATTTTTTTGTGGGTTTCTTCTTTCAACCTGGGCAATGGTACATATACCTACATTTTTTGTTTTATTTATGATCTATGAAAAATAACTGAAATTTGCTGGCTTTGTTCTATGTTTTTTTCCCTTCATTTGATTCGTAATCATAACAAATAGTTCTGTTTCTGATAGATTAAATAGTGCGAGAAAGAGTAACAGATAATAAAAATGTATTTAGTTTTTCTCTATACTGATTTCATTGGATGAATGCGAAACTATATCTCCTCGTCTTCAATTGTGTATCTCAATCATCCATTTACATTCACCAAATGATCCTAAATTAGTGTAAAACTAAAGAGATTTACAATATATATATATATATATATATATATATTCGTTTGAAGTTTTTTTTCCTTGAAAGAATCAACACCTTGATTGCCTTAAGCTTTCAAAGTTATAAATTTTAGTTGAATGATTCCATGACATGAAATTTTTGGATGTGTAGGCCAGATGGTACACCAAAGGCTCAAAATCTTTGTCTTCAATTGTTTCTTACATCATTCCTTCACTAAGCTATGTAGAGTCTAAATTGAATGATGACGGAACTAATCTAAAGCCGGTTCAGTCGCATCCCGCTAGATGGAAAAATTACAAATTCGAGATGCTTCGTGAAGTCCCAAATAGTAGTAATAAATACACCACTACTTGTATGAGCGAAGAATCAAGAAAAGCTGATGAAGATAAGAAGAAAATTTGGACTCATACTGACGATAAGCCAATGTTTGTTAAGCTTAGTCCTCGTAGCGAGAATAAGGTTCATGTTTCTGCAAGCAGCAGTATTAATTCTGAAGAATTTCAAGAAGCAAGAGAAGAACAGAGTTCAATGAAGTCTCCACCAAAACTTTCTGATGAATCTGTATTCATTAACTATGATTTGTACGAGTTCTTAATGTCTTCCCTTCCCAATATCGTTAAAGGGTGTCGATGGATGCTGTTGTATAGGTAAGTTTTGCAATAAGCTTTGCAGTTTGCTTTCGGTTTTCGATCTTGATTCAGTATTAACTCTTTCAAATGAAGGACAGTACGTTGGAGCATGGTATATCACTTCGTACACTAATTCGTAAGAGTGCTGAGCTTCCTGGCCCTTGTTTGCTGGTAAGTTAATGTTGTTTGTTAAAGAATGTAATTGTCATCAGGAGCTGTCTACGAATCTATCTGAATCTTACAATTATTTATTATTTTTTAATACTTGGAATTATTTGCATGATGTTGTAAAAATAGATTACTGGAGATAAGCAAGGAGCCGTCTTTGGTGCCATGTTAGAATGCCCTTTGAAACCTACACCGAAGAGAAAATATCAAGTACGCGACTGGCTTGTATAAGTTTTGAACATTGTTTTCTTTACATGATGAAACTATTTCACTTTCGGATCTTGTCTCATGTTTGCACTATGCTTTTCCGTGCCCTTTCATTTCTTAGTACGCAACCGGCTTGTTTAAGCTTTATTTCTTTTGTTTTATGACAGGGAACAAACCAGACGTTTGTATTCACAACCAAATATGGTGAACCGAGGTTATTTAGACCCACCGGTATGCAATTTTGTCAAAATAGTTACTTTACTTTATTGCTTAGATTACTTAGACAAAGCTTACTGCCTACACATAATAGTGAGATACATAAAGAGAAGGATATCAATAACTCGATATGTCCAACATGAACGTGTTCGGTTTTCTTCTAGTTTTTTCATGTATTTGTAGAGCCGTATTCGTAACCCATGTTATATACTTGAAGAAAAAGTATTCGTAACAACGTAGATTTAATGCATGCATGCTGAAGCCTGAATGGAAGATGGGATTTCATTCATTCTGTTCTTTTGACCCGGTTCTTTGTTTCTTCCACAATCTGTATAGGAAACAAATTCTGACCGTTATTCGAAAGATTATTCTTGCATTTTGATTTCTGATCTTGTATCATATTTGTCTAAACAGGTGCAAATCGTTATTATTATATATGTATGAATGACATGTTGGCGTTCGGAGGCGGTGGCGGCTTTGCTTTGACCATCAACGAAGATCTGTAAGTTGCTATTTGTGGATTTCTCTTTTTAGTCTATCAAAATATTTATCTTCATTGAGATTTTATTTCTCTTTACAATAGTTTAAGTGGAACTAGTGGACCTTGTGAAACGTTTGGGAACTTATGCTTGGCTCGTAACAAAGAGTTTGAAGAGTTTGAACTAAAGAACGTCGAGGTATATATCGGATGTTTATTCAGTAAGTTCAAGTATACATCGATTGTATCTCTTATTCGTTGTGTTTTTTCCCCTTACCTTGCAGCTTTGGGGATTCACACATGCAACACACAACTTTCGAAACTGAAAGTGAATGAAGAAGACTCAAAGTTGCCATTCTTTATTAGTTAATTTGAACCATCTACGAATAAAACTAGATATTGGTGTAAGATTTATGGAAGTAGGATTCAAATCTGGAATTATAAATTGTCTTTTCATTTCTTCTAACGCTGTTAAATGATACAGTAACACATCAACAGAGTAATTAACAAAACCTGTATGCATTCATGCCCTAGCCTCGATAGTATGGCGGAAAACAGAGAACAGTCTAATTAGAAAATTGCAGGAGTTTTCTGAGATTAACTTACCATCATATGGATGATAAGCAGAAGGGGGTCTTTCCTTTTTATGATTCTGTTGGAGTATCGTCATCAGGAAGGCCAAATATCCGGAGGTTGCGATCCATTGAACCGACTTAAAAATTGACTGGGGAACAATAAGAGAACATGAACCTGTGCCCGACAAATCGGGTAAACTTTTGATACAATTCCATTCCGCTTTCACGCTGGCTACTTGGAAAACTCAGGAAGCCGGAAATTAAATAAGCATCAACCAACAAGTATCATTCGGAAAAGGAAATTTTCATATAGTATTCTGGAGATGATGAGCTTGTGTGTGACCATAGAGAAAAGGATGACATTAGTTTTAGCACAGAGAACTATCCTATGTCATGACTGCATACGAGACACCTACCGTATATCTGAGCCTGCAATTGCGAGGTAACTCCCACTATGGTCGAAATCCACTGAAAGAAAAGAATTTAAACTGCTGATGAACATAGCTCTCTATGCTAAACAGCTCTGGTCACAGGAAATGAAATATTTCTTATTGTTTGTGATTCCTAGTGAGAAAACTAGTTTACACTGACAAAACATTGACTGGAAATATTACACAAAAAAAACAACACATATTGCTTGCTCCTAAAAAGAGTCGATACGAGACAAGCTAATATAGAATTATGCCTGTTGTCAAGATATTACATACCAGAGTTACTTGGTGTGCCTTGATCGTATAATTCAAAAGAACGGAAATTCTTCAATTTGCTCAGATCCCACTACTTAACACCGTCATGAGCAGCAGTCTGTAGTTAAAATTTCTTAAATCAGATCATGTTATTCATGGCCACCGACCTAATGTCAAATTTTGGCCAAGTACTTGCTGCAAGGAAGTAACCATTTTCCGAGAAAGATATTGCTGTTACGGCTCCGGTGTGTCCATCGAAGTTGGCAACATTTCCCTGCAGGATAATTGAATATATAGTGGTTTTAAAACTAAAAAATATCAAGACACAAAAGTTATGTTCTCGAAAGATAGATTCTAAGTACCCGACTCTTCACATCCCAAATTCTGACAGTAGCTCCTGCGGTGCCTGTTCCAAGGATGAGACCATCAGGATGAAATGCAGCAGATGTATAGCCCATAGAATTTGAAGGGTCTTCAACCTGCAGAAATAAAAATCTGACTCGTAATATAGGATTTCATCAAGGTAAATGAAATAGAAATTTGGTTCAAAGAAGAAAGAATATCATTTCACAATGGCCTGTTCCAGTAGAGAAAATGATGCCTACATATTTTCAAATTTGAAAACATGCTACAAACCAATTAAACTAGAATTATATTTATTGTCAGAACCCAGAATTCAGGATCAACTAAAGACAATCAAATACTAATATAAGCTACTGTTAACCAATAAGAGACCAATTAATTCATTTACTTCACGAGCAACGATACATACCAATTGTAAAGAAATGGGAGAAAGAAATAAGGATTAGAACCTGTGTCAAGCATAAGCCAGAGGCAAGATCATAAAAGCACCATGTTGCGTCAAGTGAAGCAGTTATAAAATAGTTGTTCGTGGCATGGACGGTGACAGCTTGCACCTGAAAGAGAAGGTAAATTTATTCTATTTTTTACAAGACCAGAAAATGAAACAGAACCAGAATTTGATAATTGTAACAGTCAGTACCTCTGCTGTATGATCTTTTAAAATATGCCGACACTCATAGTTTCTATCTTCAGAACCTTGCCAAATGCGAACAGTCTGCAACATTCAAAAATCAATCATATTGAGAGGCAAGCTAAATCATAAATATATATAATGTATATGTGCAATGTAGTTACAGTTAACTGGTTAAAATGTGAATATTATATCCTTTTGAAAAGCAACTCTTATGGGACATAAACTTAAATTTAAAATCAGGACCATGAAAAAGGAACAAAACTGAAACTTGAGAAAAAAAATTGGCTTACCTTATCCGCTGAACCACTTAAAAATACATCATTCTGAGCTACAAATTTTACACTTGTAACCTACCAAAGAAGAATGGAGTTAGACAGTAAATTTCATAAGCAAAAGGTAGACAACAGCTTCCCTCTTGAATATAGAAGAGGAAACTGAACAAACCTTCTTAGAGTGACCACTGAGTGTTGATAAGATCTCTCCAGATGTTCGACCAAAGAGTACGGCATTCGACTCAATCCCACCTGTGGCAACAATGTCCTAATAACCACAAGTAAAGGCAAGTGAATTGACAAGAATTGAAGCTAGGCCTGTAAATGAACTGAACGTTCAGCGAACCGTTCATGAACCGTGCGGCGAGAAGTTCGTTTATGTTCGTTTATTTATTAAATGATTAAATGAACGAACATGAACAAGATTTTACGTTCGTTTAATTAAATGAACGAACATGAACAAAGAGCTCGTTCGTTCATTTACGTTCGTGAACGTTCGAACAGAGGGCAAGTTGAATATGTTACGAAGATTATTAAAGTTGTTTGGATTTCAAGAAGATTGTTTTGCTGAACAAATTAACTTTAAGACTTTATTATGTTCATATAGTTTATTTATGATTTATGTATGTTTTTGTCGTATTCGAACAAATTAACTCTAAAGTTCCAGGTTATATTAATGAATTTTAAGTTGTTTTTCTTGTTGTTTACTTTTTTTACATTCATTGTTGTGTTCGAATAAGTTTGTTTTTTGTGTTTGTGTTGTTCGTTATATGTTCGTTTATGTTCATTTATTATGTTCGTTTATGTTCGTTCATTTGTGTTCGTTTATCATTTAAATGAACGAACATGAACAAGCTATATTTCTTAATGAACGAACATGAACAAAAAAATTTTTGCTCGTTTATGTTCGTGTTTGTTTATTTATTAAATGAACGAACATGAACATACCTCCGTTCGTGTGCGTTCGGTTCGTTTACAGGCCTAATTGAAGCCTAGTGAAAAACAAAAATAAAATATTGCATTCAATAAACTGGAACCTAGACAGGCTTTTGGTTCCACATGCTGGATCCATATGGGCTTACAATGGAAAGAAAAGATTGGAAACTACTAGTCTACTAATCTTAACATCAAATGTTGCACAGAAACAAAAACGAACTTAGCCATCACCTTAGCAATAATTATTACATGATTTCAAAATTTAATATCCAAATCTTGTTTCTAACAGATCTATTTCTTGTTTCCTTAATTTTGGCTGCTAAGTAGCAAGTCCACATGCAAAATCATAATCATCATCACCTCCTGTATTGACAAGTTCAGGCAAAACTATAGTTTCTTTAAAGGGGTAACTAAAAAGAGCAGCAAACCTTTGAAAGATTGATGTCAATTGAAAGGATGCCTGGTTTGTTTGTCTTGTGAAGGGGATGACTAGAAAGCTGGGTATACCTCTCCAAAGCATCAATGGGAGCCAGTGTTGGAGGTATCTGAAAAGCACACGCAAGCAAAGATTAGGAGGGGCCAAGAAGACAAACAAAGATGTTATCTACAAAGAAGTAGTTGGTATTAATAAAGAACACACAATCAATGGGAGCCAGTGTTGGAGGTACCTGGCGCTTTTTACGCTATTGAGACAGAGCAGCATTACACTCAGTTAACTCAGAGATAATACTATCAGAAACTCCAGGACGCATTCTCTTTGCATCAGCGCCCATATCTTCTTCTCTGAAGCTATGATTACGAAAACAAATCTCAAATAAAATGCAGAGTTAATAAAAAAAACATAAATGAAAAGCATACTGAGAAATAACCTCTCTTTCCATTGCTCACAGCAGAAACTGCAGATGCAGGCAGAGGTGCCTGCCTCTCAGCCTGTGCAAGTAATGACCTGGCTTCATCCCTTTCCTTCTTAAGTCTTGCAATAACACGGCAGGCAGCATCATGCTGTATATAAAAGATAATAAAATGATTTCTTATATTCAGAATAAAAGTAAAGAATCAGAAAGATATAACACAAAAAGCCAATGAGTGAGTAAAAACTCAATATCCTTTTATTATCGGATTTCATAACCACATGGATCTTTAGAAGAGAGTTTTTGAATTGGTTCACTTTATTTTAGAAGGTAAACATTTTAAAACAAAGCATCCCCCGATCAGAAAAAAATGCAACAAAGTTTTTACATAAAACAAGAAAAACTAAAAAGAAAAGCCCTCACACAACACAACCATCAAGCTAAATTACTCAGCTTCTTTGTGAATGGTAAAAGGAATATAACGCCGGTAAGAATGTAAAATAGATTTTGACAAAACGAGCTCACACCAGAATATCAAGAAGAGTTTTTGCTTCAATCTAGACAAAAGGAAACTAACTAACAAAATGCTTTGTTCTTTCTAGTGCAGTGATATAGTGCAACATACAAAAGCCAATAAGTAAAAACAAAAAAAAAATTACATGACTGTCAAAAATAAAATTAAACAATATCCCAATTGTCACCTGGTAGAGTGCATGACTTAGCTCTTGCCTAGCTGTATGTAGCTGTTGCTCCAATGCAAAATTAGATAGCATCAAAGCATCCCATTCCTGGAATGAATGAAGTAATGTAACATCAGATGCAAAATACTGAAGAAAATTCGATGTAAAAATAGTAAAAACTACTCCATAAAAAGATCAAATGTTATATGGAGTGCATTCATTTGTAGATATACAAAAGAAGTATAGTAAGAACCCTATGTAATGTATCATCGGGACTATTACAAATTACACATGACAAAGTAACTCCACCTCCCCACCACAGACTCACAGATAAATAAAAAGGAAATGATGGCATTTAAATTTGAAGCATGCAATGATTTGAACTAATTAAGACATTGAAAAAGCAGCACAAGAATGGTACTTTATATCAGAACATACATTCTGAAACATTCCAAGCAT